ACAGCTGCTGGCTGGGTGGCGCCGATAGTGCTGGAGGTACCAGGGAGCTCACGGCCCTTTTGGGGCGCTGCAAAGCACGGCTCTAACAAACAGTGGCTTCTGCTCACAGCTGTAACACCCAATCTATTTTAAATGCAATTAAATTCCACATAAGGCAACCAAACCTGATGGAGGACACACTAAAGCACCCCTTTCTCTAGCTGCTCTGAGTGCTCCAAGGACCCTACGCTGCTCGTCACAGCGCTGTGTGCACCAGGATGCTCCCAAGACTTGTACTAGGGAAGCAAATAAGGTCAAAAAAACTCCAGAGAAAAAAAAAATAAAGTAATTAAAACTTCAGGTGGAAGCAGAGGAGAAAAAAACGTAACATCTGAGATGGAACAATTCAGTGTTTGCGTCCAGACGTAGGCGAACTAAATGTTTAAGCATCAAGTCAATCAAGTCAGTCGCTCTGGGCTCAACGCCGCTCTTCTGGAGTTATTTATTCTTTTGGCTGTAGCACTGCCAGCTATAAATGACAGCTGTTGACTGCTGGTTTTCAGCGTAATGAGAACACGGCACCAGGAGGGCTGTGTCAGCTTTTCCACTGACCCACGGGGCCGGGGGCTTCCCAGCAGAGCTGGCTGTGAGCTTGCTGCCGGCCCAGCTGCAGCATCCCTGCACGCGGCTCCTGCTCTGAACACGGCTTAGGGCACCCAGAGGCAGCTTAATCCAGCAGGAACAGGACTTTGCTGATAGAAGGGTGTTTATAGGATGCGGCTTTCCATCCCGATACAATGCCACATCTTTCCTAGGTTAGACTAAGACCATGGCTAAGCAGGATTTAGCTTCATCGGCCAAACCTATCGAGTGATCTTCCTCTATTTATGCAGCTAGAACATGGTTATTCACACCACAAGGACGACTACAACACACAGAACATCGGGAAGTCATCTGATTCTGCCAGAAGCCGAATTATGTTAATAGTAAGGGTGGACAACTCCCTCCCAAAGCCTGGTTGTCAGCCTCATTACTCTTCAGCGCTTAACAGTAAATGCAAGTTTTGAGAAGTTCACCACTACGCTGTTTATTTTTAAGGCATTATTCTGCAAACCCAGGTAACGTCAGAGCATTTAACTCTCTGTGCTCTGTGTAGTCCCAACAGGAGGATGTAACAAAACTACTCTCCAAACCACTCTGTAAGATTTTCTTTGTTTTCAATACTTGCTCAGGGTACTTGGATTAGTGCCCCCTCCCTCGCCACCTCCTGAACCACAGAAGGATTTCAGTGTATACAGACCTAAACTTCCCTCTCAGCACAGCCAGGCCTCCAATTTATATTTTCAAAAGCCTACCCAAATGCAGAGATGGTTTTAAGGTGCTGCAGTTGGTATTTTCAAAAGACGCCTCAAGCAGGTGCACAAATTCGGCATTTCTCAGGGGTTTTCGAGGTGTGTGTAATTCCTTTGGGCTGCTCTGAAATTCCTGCCTATTCTTAGCAACTGCCAGTCCATATCAGCAAATGGCTGCTCTTCATTATCATATTTTCCTACTTGGAGGTGTTAATTGAGGTTAAGCTCCGGTTGTGCCAAGAATGCGAAAAGAAATGCAAGCACGTAAAAGCCTCCGGAAAATAACACGCAGCGGAGCTGGCAACCACACGTGAAACACCGAGCCTGGAGAGCCCTCTGCTCGTTTACCCAGCTCATTAGAGGCAGACACAGCCAGCAGGAACCTCCATCCATCCCTCCTCCAGCACCTACATCCCCGAGCACATGGCACTGGCCAGGCCCATCTGCACACATCCACATGGAGGCAGAAAGACGAGGCGCAAGGTACCAAAGCACGAAGCTGCTGGATTTTTTGTTAGGGGAGACCGAAAGCAATGTAAGCCAAAAGGGCAAAACCAAAAGCTGGCTGTTCAACAGCCACAAGTTTTGTCCACCAAAGTTCTGAAACCTAGCGTTTCGTACACGTCAACCAGTGCAGCATTCCCAAACCCATGATGGTAAAAGTGGGCAATGAAGCTGCAGGGCTAATAATGTAAATAAGAGTAATAAAAAATATCAAATAAAAGTAATAACTTTATGTAAAAATAATTTTTACATAAAGTTCATTGCTCACAGGAGTCCCAGCTCGGGGGAACTCCTGGCTCCCAGGCACCCCATTTTGGATCTCAGGCAGCCCAAAGCCACTCATCAGTTCGCTAAAAAGCAAACAAGTTTTCTGTAGGACCCTTTGCAAAAAAACTCACATTTACACATTTAAATAAAAATTGAAAAATACTTAGGAGTTTAGACCAATGAAGAAAAAATTTAGTGGTCCATAGCCTGAACTCTTCTAAATTATTGCATAAGGGAGACAAGAAAGACACTCAAAATACTCCATCCCGTACAGAAAGCACAACCCAAACATGGATGTGAGCCCAGCACCCAGAGCGTGCTCGCAGAGCGGTTGTAGCAGTTAGCACTGAAGCTCCAGCTGCTCTGTTTCCCAGCAAGTTGGTTTTTACTTCCCTGGGTAAGGTCTGTGTGCAGAACCACTGTGCTAATGGTAAAATCTTTGCTGGCATGAGGTAGGTAAATTCCATGCCAGCATTTCTGTAGATAATTATGTGAAAACAAGAAAGTGAAAGCCTGAAGCCCTGGGGTAAAAACAACAAATTTTTTTTATAAAGAGTTTAATTTGTAAGTAATTGCATTTGTGCTGTACCACCTCTGGTACAGCGCAGCCTTGGCTAACGAAGCAGCATCACCTGAACCGGAGCTTGAAAGAAAACCCCTCCCTGAGAAAGCTGAAAAGATTTAAGGAGGAAAATGATATTTTAAGACAAGTTGATCATAAATTGCCAAACAACTAATTGTGAACAGGTCGGTTTGGCGGTGGCAGTGAGGCTAAAAGCAACAGTGCTGAACCGGGCAGCTGGGAAATGGGGATTTCAAAGCGATCAGATCATTTTAATGCTGATATCAAAGGGCCAGTTTTTATCAGGTTGAGCCTGCCTTATACCATAAATTAAGAAATATGATTTTAAGAATTAAAAGATCACCATATGCTTTAGAAATTAATTTGAATAAAAGTCCTGAAAACAAGATTAAAAAATAAATAAATCAAAATTGCAAGTTATGGAAGCAGGACCACAGTTCGTGACTGACCTGGCACATCCACAGTAAGACCAAACAAAGGATGTTTTTTGCTAAATAAGTAAGCAGCCTACTAACTTGGGGTGATTCAGAGACACATCCAGTTGCTCTGAGAAGCACTTTGCAGAGAGCAGAGAGCCCGGCACGAGCAGCACAGACCAGCAGCACGGTGCAGGAGCAGCACAGGCTGCTGGAGAGCAGGAGGTCATTAGTCTACGAAGCAGCTAATTACCTGTATATTAAAAGGTACTTTGCAGGCTTGCACAGAGAAATAAAAACGTCCCAAGTGACATCTAATGAAAAAAACTGGCACCCAGCACGGCGCGTTTATGTCTTTATCTATCGAGAGGCATTCAGCCACCCGTGCTGTTCCTCCCAGGGTGGTTATTAACTACCTGCGGGAAATCACGGCTTCCAGACACCGAGCTGTGAAGTTCAGGGGCTGGGTCTTTCGGCGACGGGTTTTAGGATTTGATCAATAGCTTGGAAAAATAATTTTACAAGCCCAGGTTTAATGCAGTGGTGCCAAGCCGAGTGCCTGCCTCCAGGAGAGTCTTAACGGGGAACTGAGAACAGGAACTACTTCAGGCCTCCAAGGACCAAAAGCAGCATCCCGCAGTGTCTCAGTGCCAGAGATTCCCTCGCTGCCTTCAAGGTCACACGGAGGGATTTCTTCTCTCTTAAAAACATAAGTTTTAGGTAAAATATGTCCTTATAAGGAGCCTAATAAGCTTCTTAAACAACACTCAAAGCTTTTTAAATAGTAAGGAGAAGTGACGCAGCGTAGGTATTTAGGAAATGCTCATTCTCTGTGTTAGGGACAGGCATATAAACAATTTGTGTATCATTTTTCATTATAAAATTGTGTATTAGAGGCCTGATATTTTGTTAAGTAAAAATTAAATCAGTATTTCCACAAACGCTGTATTTTTCCATGACTATTATGGTGCCAGGGAAGCAAGAAGCAGACCCTCTGTCCCCAGAACCTGAGCTCAGCGGCATTCCCTTAAATTACTGCTAACCCTATCCAAAATCCTCAAACTTCCACAGATGAGATATTTCCCCATTTCTTTTACAAGCAGCTAGGAGTAAACAGCAGATACCAGTCTGTATTTTACACAAATTGGAATAAAAAACCTTAAAATGATTCTCTAGTTTAGATATGTAAGTCTATAAAAAAAAAAGGAAAGTGCTACTATGTAAAAACTGACTTTGTAATTTTCATTTTAAAATCTTTTGCATGCAAGAACATTTGCGTTGATATACAGGCTGCTTTGTTCCTTTTAATTTAACACATTTATTTTAATGAAATTTCCATCTGCGTACAGACAAATCCTTGCAGAGGTGACAATACTTAGGGAAAGTAAGAGCTGGACCGTGCCTCAAACTGAAGGGTGACGAGAGAGGTGCAGACTAGGTGAATAAGGGAAGTGTTAGTTAAATGGGATGGTCTTCCTCTGAAGATATAGACATCACCACAACCAACCAGATGCCATTTCACATTATTATGCTCTGTAAGTCCACCAGTACCTAGGAAAGCTCTATGTATTTGAGAAGACAAGCTTTATGTAAAAAAAACAGGCTCACTTAACTTCATTTCCTTGTTGTTTTCCCTCTTCATCGCTGCACAAAGTATTACTGATATAAATCTGGTATTTTCTCCTCCCAGTCACTAATCACCTGTTTTCCAACCAGCAGCATCTCATGGCTCAGTGAATCCAAACAGGCTATTTTTGATCCTGTTTTCTAGCTAGATTGGTATGGTCAATACTAAAGTTTAAAAAAAAAAGTTCTTATTTCTATGAAAAGCAATGACAGAAGGCCAAGACATGTTAAAATAAATTGCTTTTTAATGACCTCGTGTTCTTATCTTTGTAGGCTTTCATATCGGACTGGTCAAGACACGGCTAATTGCGACACGTGCAGGAACAGTGCGTGTATCATCTACAGGTAGGTTAAAATCCTCATCTTCCCACTTCGTACTGAATGAAAGTAACAATTTTATTCATTAATGCAAGATGAAATGGTAGCCTTCATTAAAATGGTGTGGTTTTTTTTCAATACACAGAAGCAGATTAAAAAACAGAAAATAAATTTACCTTCACTAAATTACTTATATTAACTGACATCTGCTTTCAAGCCTAAAATGACACATAGATGACTGTGGTCAGTGCCCTGCTGCAGCTCTTGGATGTGGAGTGCTCCAAGTTGTGAGCTTCATTGTCACGTTGCTAGAGATACTTCCAATTCCTGTCCAGCAGCTCCACGTGCCAAATTGATTTCATAGCAGTAACAGCCGGACTCAGGAAGCAATTTTGAGATTTCAGAGCACAGATAACCAGGTACAGATTCAATTTAGGTAGTTTAATCAGGGAAATGACATTACTACCCAGGCTTTTACATACTCTTACATTTGTAGTAGGTAAGTTTTTAAAGCATACAGGTCAAATACGTCCTGCTCAACACGAACAGCACACATCTGCCTTCTTCAAATCAAACCTGCTCAGTCTTCATGCAATGCACAAGTGAAGACTCGCTGCATGCATACAAAAATCCCCTTTAACAGACTCGTTTTGAAGGTGTACGGTTCTGGAAGGTGAATACAGGTTGGCTCATTACTGTCAAACCTTCAAACATGACAAAACTGCTTCGTGGCTTTGTTAAAGATGTGTTATACCTGCTAGAATTTCTCCTCCAGAAGGAAATACTTGGAGTTTACTTGCTAGAACAGAATTAGGTGCAGACGGTGAAAGAATACGTTTCAGTTTTCTCTGAAGCAGAGGTTCATCTCCTAAAGTTTATCAGCCAAGAGACCCGTTTTGCCCTGTACTATGTAATGAATAACAGATAATCAGTGGGCATGACACGAAGCCATCAGGAGTTTGATGATGTGTTTCGTACTGACAGCTTAATTATCCTCCTCCATTACAGAGAGTCTTAAAGAAAAGCAACTGCATGTTTACATGTGGTGCAGGTAAGATGGAAATAAACGTGACTCAGATTATCATTCTACCAGGAATTTCTTCTCTTTTCTGTACAAAGGGATAAAATATTCTGAGAACTTATTTCTAGATTTCCTTCTGAAACGTATCAGCAGGTATTTCAGAAAATCAGGCAATATAGTGCAGATGAAAATGTATAAAGACTGATATTAACTAAAGATACAAACTAAGATGAATGTACAAATGCTGTCTGGGTCTGAAAACCACTTCCCCCCTTGTTTGTCTACTTGGTTTCTGATTGAGGTGGAAGACCTGCACCTATTCATACATTACACCCAAGCTGCCTAGAAGTGAAAGAAGGATGGAAAGCTTCAGCTCCATCTTTTCTCCTTCCCAGCTAACTAGGAAAGAGCAAGGTGCTGTTCTGTGCAGGGGAAGGACCCAATTTATGTATTTCTCCTGTAGACAGGCATTTAGCAGCATAGAAATAACAAAGGCCTCTCCTACTGCCCTGTTTGCTCATCCTATGCAATTTCTTTCCCAGGGCAGACAGGGAAGTTGCAACACAGCACTCTGTCATCAGAGGTGCTCTTTTTGTTTCAAAAACAATTTTATGTTATTTTTAAAGGGCTTGATTTCTAGTCAGCAGGTTTAAAAGGAAGGAACTTACCCGTTTCTACCTCTTATACGCACTGCAAATGAAAAGCACGCAGCCATGCAGATTTGAAGGGCTTCCGCTCCACGAACATTACCAGCCAGCTCCCCAGCATTTCCCACCAGAACAGCCATTTGGACTGAAGCTGTCGATGCAGGGCATTCGCCTAAAGCAGTGTTTCCAGGGGAAGTTTTAGCAAAAATCAGCTCAGCTTTTTGACACAGTAGGAGAATACACGCTGCAGGCAAGAAGTCTAAAAGCAGAAGACAGCGCAAAACAGGGGAACTCTGAGAAGGCTGAATTACTATGACAAGATAAGCAGCCAGAAAGGATAAAAGAGAAATTCGCTGATAAAACCACCACTAAGACACATTGCCTTGTAGGATCTTCCCCAAGTCAAATACCACAGTGCTGGAACCTCCGAACAAAATGAAGCATCTCATTAGGGAGGATGCGAAAGCTGCTGGTAAACCTGAACTCTGCGTGCAAGGATACAGGCAGCACCTCTAAAGGATTGCAAGACAAACCTTGCATACAGGTACAGTTAAGAAAGAACACGTTTTAGGGACAGAAATTAAAGCACATTCTCCAACTGCTTTTATGATACTAGGAGAAGTATTTTTACCCAGCTTGGACCCACTGTCCTCCCTTCACACAGGCCGTAGACAGGGGAGACCAAAGAAAATGTAACCAACCCGCTTACAGGGCAAATCAAGAGCTCAGAGAATTCTTAACATTGTCCACAATTGTCTTTGCTTTCGAAAATGCAATTCAATTTTTAACACAGTAACATTAAAAAAAGACACTTCGGAGGTCTTTCAAAGCTCTATTTTTAAACTGAAGCATCTTAGGGGAATGAATCAGTTGCCCTACTGCCAATCCAGCTACCTGCTGTGGTGTCAAGTGTAGCAGAGATGAGGAGCTAGAATGCAGAAACAATCACTGTAATTAAATTCTGCTCCTCAAGATGACTTCTCCGAATATTAATACGATCTAGCACAAAAGCTGAAGACAATGTGGAAGACACAAATCACTGTTGTACTCTAAGCTATTTTTGTTGCTTTTTATGTGCAAAGATGCTCAGACTTTTAGTAAACATTTCAAGTAGAGGATTTTGAAAAGAGTTATTTTGCATATGACGTTTTTGCTAATATTCCAAATCTATTCTTTCATTGTCTTAATGTTGAGAAGAATACATACTTTTTAGAATTAAAGAAAAGTGGGAAACCAGGTTACTTTTTCCTTTTTTGATAAATAGGAAACTGTTCAAACATGAAACTGTTAAAGATAGAAGGTCCCAAAAAATTAAACTTTCCTACTCCAGGAACCAGTAGGAAAAGAACCATCTAAGTTTGATTCCCCATTCCCTCAAAAATGTCCTTGTTGCTGCCATAGGAAACAGGCTCAGGAACTTGATGAATTCTAACCCAGGTCAGATTTCTTCCATTGCATGAGATGAGCAACATTAACTGCATCCTCGTCCTGCAGCACACATCAATTCGCTGCTTCCACTGCCAATTAAACACCCATTTAGCTGCTCCCATGAAGGCTGGGAAAGGCTGGAGCAATTACCCCAAAGGTTTCAGCAGCCTGCTGTCACCGGGATCCTAATAGGGACAGGATCAGTCGTGCCACGTCTCCTGGAGCTCTAGGCTCAAAGACAGCTTCAAGACTCTTTAGCTGCAAAGTTATCAACAGAGCTTTTAATGACCAAGCCCCAGCTACACGACAACAGTCTAAACTAGTAAAAAGTGTTTTGCAGCATGTCTTTGTAGTAATTGCCGGACAGCGGTTAAATTAGTAGTCAAAAAATGTCATCTTTAGTAAAAATAAGCCAACTTTTAGTCAGGTGTTGATGTGCCAAACATTAACCCACCCCATCAGTATCCACATCTCATAACAAAAGGCCTCAAAACGGTTTCAAAATCATCCGTCTTTTACAAACTATAGAACAAAACTTATAGAAAGATACAAAAAAAAATTACCCGTGTATCCTTTCCAAACTAAATGCAGATTCACTATCATTTTTAAGGAGAAAGGATAACCCTTATTAGGGTAAATTGTCAGCACAAAGTCAACTTAATACTGAGGTCTACCAAGATCTTGTTATTAAGAAGAAATCGCATTGATATGCAGAAATTGTACTAAATCTATCACACCCAAACCCATGTGCACTCAAATCTTCACAGGCTGTTTTATTCCGTGATTATCTTTTAGTGGAACTGCCCTTTCCGTTTCTATTTAAATTACCATCCCTCATGAATTTTAATCCTCGGAAAGGAATCTTTATGAGAAAATGAGTCTTCTGTTTAATATTTTTGTGCATTATTCTACGGCCTCCATCAGGAATTATCTCTGTGAAGGAGCATCTTAAGGAATTCATGCCAGGCTTCCCTCCGGTCAGAGAGGTCACAAATACTCTGTAGTTTTTACAAGGTTACTTTAGCTGCTGGAAATGATCAAATCTCTAGCCAATTTCTGCACAGGGGGAACAAACAAACTTACATCAGGACTGCACTACTGGAGCTCCTGGGAAAAAAAAAATTATTCAGAGCTGCAGCAACCATTAATTTGGCTGTTTTTTAGTCCTTCAGGATTTTGCAATCATATTCGCTGTTTTACAGTATTTAATTTTGTCAGTGACATTTTAAGGCACGCTCCAGCTATTTAATTGAAAACCTATTATTAGAATCTGTGCAATTTAACACTCACTAAACCAGCAGCTGTTACAGGTTAAAATCACGGTGATGCCAGTCAACCAGGTAGCACAGAGGCCACGTGGAAGTAGTTTAATTGTAAAGGTTCAACATAATGATAATTATGAAAATACGTAAATATGGCATGCAAAATGAAGTAAGACAAGTAAACAAATTCCTAAGATGGTATCAGTATAACAAAATCAGATAACTGAATAACCAGACTAGGAATTTTCACCTTTTTTTTTTCATTTCCTACCCACGGTAATTAACTTACGTTCTTTCTCACCTTACTTCTAAGCCTGTGAGATGTTTAGTTGAAGATTTTGATCTTTACAGCTTCCCAACGCTGACAATGCTTTGGATCCCAGGCATCTGCGATATTCAGGTTGAAATGGAAAATTTAAAAAAAGTGATTGTTTGCAAGTATATTGAGCTATTTCTCAAGTTATTAGTGCTTATCTGGATCCTGATCCTCCAAGACGTGGCACATGCTAATTCCATGGCATCCTATTAATGCAACCCAGAAGCAGAGGCAGTGATGTTCTTTTCCAACTTCGCATAGCCTGCTGTAGAGTTAAACCTCTTGTCAAATGCTTGTAGGATTCGGGCCTAAACATTACAAACCAGAGAGTAAAAAAGGAAACAGAGGGAGTGTCAAGTCAAAGGAGAAGGGTTGTGGTTGAACAGGAGAAAGGCTGGGTTTACCCTTGCGGGGGATCGCAGCCCTGAGCCCATGCAAACTCCCTCCTTGGAGATTTCAAGAGCCAACTGGGTGAAGCCCTGAGCAACCTGGTCCTGAACCTGAACTGTTCCAATTCTGCAACCTTACAGAGCCAACATACCAGACTGATAGCATCCAGCACCTTAAACTGATGCACATTAATAACGTGTGACTATGTTAGGAAAGATGAAAGCCCATCCGAATCTCCAAGCTTGTTGCTAGATCCGCTCCCACGTCCCATATGTTTAAAACCAAGTGGTTATGACTCCTCAAACTGTTTTCAATCCCTTACACAGCAACAAAATTAGAAAAAGTTCACTCTCCTGCCAGCATGCAAAAAATAAACACTCATTAACATAAATTCTCAAAATCATTAGAGAAGCCACGAAGCCAAGAAGAGAAAACCCACCGCACCAGTCCCTAATCACAGGGCTGGGATTCAGCAGATGGGGTTAAGCAGAAAATAAAGCAGGATGAGCGAGTTGGCTGCTCAGAGGGATGACAGCACTTTTCCAGGCATCACTCAAGCATTGCCCGCTACCTTTCTGCGGTGTGCCTCAGGTGTGGCAAGCCCAGCTCCCCGACACTTGCGTTTGAGTACATCAGAATCAATTCCTCCAAGGTCTGCTACTTCGGTTTACAAGGTCTGATACTATTTGTTTCGTTTTTGTAGGGCTTATTCATTATTGTTGGTGTTGATAATTTTTGGCCTAACTGTACTTATCACAGGGAGGCCTCAAGACATGAAAGAGGCCATTCGGGAGTGAAACAAACCACACGGCATAAAGGGATAAAAAAAATTGTCAAGGTCACTGAGAGGAAACCTAGAGATGCTTAGGATACAGAAGTATCACTCAGCAAAGCAATATCATCAGCTGAGCCAGGTGACAAGAACTGGTTCTCCAATACAAGGTTTGGGAAGATGGGAACAGGCTGTAGAGAACATCCACTGAAATATAAAGAAGCCACACAGATCTGTGACACTCTCTGAATTTAACTGTATTCCATCTGTTGGATAGAAAGTTAGAAACCCAAAATAAAACCAGCTACAGCTAATTTAGACAAAAATGAAAAATCACAGAATAAGGTTTTTGTGTTCTTACTGCAGCACAAACAAGTCGACACGGAATCCTAAGTTTGCAAGCAAACAAATCATTTGCCTCAAAGGAACAGTTCCGTTAGGAAACCTGCAAAGCTAAATAAATTGATCCTGATAGATAACAGCTCTCCTGCAAAATGTACACAGTTACAAGAGGTAAAATACATTTCCTTTCACGCTCTTTAGGGTTTTCAGAAGAAAAAAAAATATTTATTTTGATGTAAATAGATAAAACAGCCTGCAATGAGCTGCAAATGGTTTCATGCAGTAAAGAATGACAGTAACGGGGTTTTTGTCATACGAACCAGAATTAGCAGAGTTTTTCTCTTGCAGTCCAATCTTTAATAAAAACTGATTGTGAAAAAAAGGTATTCTGCTCAGAAAGTTGCTTTGGCTTTTACATTTTTTTTTTACATCAATTTTGAGTAGGTCTTAAGAGAGTTACTGAGTTGAAGACTGCTCTGCTCTGTCCTTAACAAGGATGAGTATTAGATACAGGGCTCTTAGAGCGTGCCTCTAGTAACAGCAGATCTGATGCTGCTGTCTACAGCAAGTTCAGTGGTCACGGGGCAGTTCTAAGGTGTATCTGAAATTGATATGTAAACATATTTTTTTCCTTCCTTTTGAAATGTCTTTTTACCACTTAACAACATGGAGGCAGGAAAAATATTTTGAGTATTTCAACTCTTATCTAAAAAACTTCTCTGACTATGGGGGAGTTTCTCCAACCACTCCAGATGACTGAAATGCTGTTTTACTCATTATGTGTTTAACTATTAAACTAGGTTTAACTAGTCTTACAGCCAGATTAAAAATAAATAAATAAAAAACCCAACACCTTTACAGCATCTCCTTCTAGGGACTTCACTGGAAGTCCTCCTGACAGGCAGACTCTTCACCAGCTCTGGGAAAAGCCACCCAATAACCCACCTCATCCTTGCAACATCCCAAACATTTCCTACCAGACTTCTGATTTCTTCTCCTTTGATCCAAGAGGAAAATAAAATCCACCTAAATCCCCAGATGGAGTAAAGCAGCATAGCTTCTCTGATACCTTACTCCAAAAATGCAACATCAGAAATGACTCAGAAAACAAATTTAATAGCTATTAAAGTGAGCTGACATCCAGGAGCACTGACCTCGGATGTTTATGCAGCACTGAGGTATCCGAAGCAGTCAGTGCAGAGTCAAGGGCAGCCTCTCAAATGCCTCAGAAGATGCACTCAGTCTCGTAGTTTTAGAATATCGAGCAACACGTAGAGAAGGAAGATATTACACTACTCGTCCCATAAAACTTCCCTAATATCAAACCATGATGTTTAAGGTATTTGAATGTACATGGCCTAGATTGGTTTTTAAGTATCAGATAAAATTAGTATTTTGCTGAAGTTCATAATGTGATTTGTTTTCTAAGCTAACCTTGAATCTGTAGCTCTCTCTGTTGAAATAAGGGTTATAATTTCATCGTTATTTTGTTTCTTAATTGCTGGCAGGATTGTGTAGTGGAGAGTCCTTAGAATTCAGGAGGCGTAATCTGGATCTTAAGTATGTTTTTTGAATGCATGCTTTAAGACTAAACAAGTGTTTCCCTTATTGCTTTTTTAATATTTTTATTTATTTAGCAATTATTATTGCTATTAAATTTTAAAAGCAAATGAAACAAAACAAATACACATGAGCTATTACTGTAACACGTCCTTTCCCTGCTACCTACAGATCTGATCAGCTAAATAAACGAGCCTACAGCCCCAGCTGTTTTTGTCTCAGCACTCATTCAGAGGCTGAGTAGGTCGTATTTTACTGTCCTTGTTACAGGGCTATGTGTATATGCAGCAGGTTCGCAATGTAAAGGAGAATTAGGTTTTTAACGTATTTATTTTTCAGAGATGAGTACGTACACATGGTGGTAATTTGGTGAAATTAATCTAATGCTAAAACTTACAAGAAACAGCTAAGGTATACGAGTGGCCAGGTCAGCCTCCTTACCTCTCGCCAACTCGGCAGCTTTTTTCAGAAGAAAAAGTTCTCTGCATCTAGAGAGCAGCAGAGCGCCCAGGATGTGGGAAGTGCCTAGATTACCCTATAACAGCTAATTGCTTTTTTCTTCCCAATTTTAGCGTGGAATTGGATTTTAAGCAGCAAGAAGATAAACTACAGCCAGTTTTGAGAAAACTTCATCCTATCGAGGAAACTCAGGTTGCACCTTTGCCTTATTCTCAGGAGAGCTACTCCTCCACTCCCAAGCAAAAATCCAAAACTGAATCAAAAAAGCACGGAAGATGGAAACTCTGGTTCCTTTAACCAAGTCCGTCCCATGTGGAGTTCAAGGCCTTCTCTGAAGAAGATGTGGGGTTGTGTCCATCACCTACAACGGGATCTCTGCAGGTTGATCCGTGCTGCCGGCCGCTGCTGTTGGGAGGCGGCCGGCGGCGTTCAGCTCTCACCGTGTGTACCAAAAAGGCCTTTGTACCTAGGAACTCGTGCTCGGGAGCAAGGCGGTCCCTGACCCCTTGCCAGCTTTTACTTGCGGTTCACCAATGTGGGATGTAAAACCTGAATTGCGATTTGTACAAAACGGAAAGTAAAACTATTCCCCCCCCCCTTAGATCTGAGAGCATCACATTCTAACCCGTTCAGTCGTAGGCTGTCATCCTGTGCGCAGCGCAATATCACTCTTGTTTTAAAGCCTTCTGGGGGTTTGGTTTGTCGTCTTTTAAACAACGAGGGGAAAAAAAAAAAGCGAGCAAGCCTTACGTTTGCAATGGTCTTCAGTTTTACAAATCCATGTTGATCGGGGAGTGCAGTTTTCAGCACATATATCCTGGACAAAGCACAATTTTTCATGTGGTCCGAGACCATGAATACTCTCTAAGACGTGACTGTGTGTATATTTGCCTTCATGTGTTGTAGACTTCAACCAAGCTATCACATTTCGACAATGCACCGTCATTTCTAACCTAGCTATGTCCTCACCACCAGAAGAAGCCTGCTGCTCTCCTCCAGCAGGCGAGCGGCTAGAAATCTCCCAAATTCAGGACGAGCCTTTAACCACACCAAGCTGACAGGGTCAAGGCCACAGGACAAACCGTCCTAGATCTCACTTTTAATTTTTTGGTACCCAAAAGGTCTAAATGACACGTTCTGGCACAGGAAAAAAAAAAAAAAAAAAAAAAAGAAACACACGAAAAAAAATAACAAGCTCTACCAATTGCTGGCGTTTGCCATTACGTAGGATCTTTTTCTAATGCAATCTTTGGAAAACCTCTCCATTACTGCAAAAGGCACCATAAATTTTGTAGCACGCATTACGCTTTGAAACCTGCTTGGAAGAAGCAGCAATTTTAAGAGATATTTATTTATTAATTTATTTATTAATTTATTTATTTACCAAGCTTCTCAGATGGGTTTCCCAACCACCACATTAGAGTTCCTACCTAAATCTACTAATTGTACTTAATAACCAATGCACTTAGGGAACAAATGTGAATCAAATTTCTTTTTTTTTTTTTTTTTTTGACACTTAAAATTTTGCTCAGAATTACAAACTGGAACCCTTTCCCTTAAGTATTTGTTACTGTCATTAAAGTCCTACCAAAAATGACCATTTGTGGAAAAAAAATCTCCTGCTGGAAGTGGCATGGGACCGGGGATATCTTTTTTTTTTTCTTTTTTTAAGGAGTTAGGATCATTTGAATCATACAGTGTCAGAAACTGGGTTACTCTAAGTTGGTTTTGAAATTGCACACCCTGCAGCAGGATTAAGATACAAATTCTTCAGTCTTTAGGTGGAAGAAAAGTAATCACAAGCAGAGGAGCTTGCACGTAGTAGCAAACTTTAAATGCTTTCACTTACACCTTTTCTTAGCTCGACATAAAATTTGGAAAAAAAAAAAAAGAAGGAAAATCACATGCTATTTGGTCTGGGGAAAAATAAGAAAAGGAGGTTAAAAAGGAAACAGAAATGCAGGAGATGTTTATGTCCACCTTGAAGTTACTTTCAGCGTGCTTAAATGAAAAAGTCACCTTTGTAGTGACTTCAAGAGGGCTCCGAGTTCTTGTACAAACACAGACACTGTCCCAAAATACGGCTGTGAAAGCTGAAGGATTAAGAAAAGGTGATTGGTCCTGTGTACCAGGAAGGAAGTGCAATTGTTTCATCTGGAAAAATGTGTGTTCCATGTATTTTATAGTGTTTTTAATTAAATACATAGAACTGTTTACAGGGCAGCCCACCTTATGCGTTCTAGAAACCCAAATATTTCCGAACAAGAAAATCTATTTTTTTTTCCTAAAAAGAAATATCAAATATGGACATGACAAGAAAATACAACAATATTTAGTATTTCAAAATAGCAGTAATAACTTATAGACTCATACACGCTACCATGCCATTTAGTTTCAGTAATTAAACCAAGCATCTCTCAATGGCAATCAATTACGAATCGTTAGCGTCACCTCATCAGTAGCTTTGCCCATAAATCTATTCTTAACGTTGTCGTGTGCAGGGACTCTGACACCAAACTCCACTATTTCTGTGCGGTTCCTGCCCCATCCGGAGACCCGTATCCTGTAAGCAGTTAATGTCAGAGGGGAAGTCACTGGTGAAACACACAAGAGCTAAAAGTGGAAGCTCTCACGGCGTGTTCTGTACATGTCCAGGCTATTTTCTTAAGAAGTTGCAGATTTTTAATTTTTTACATTTTTTTAACGATGGAAAAGCTAACATACATAGTCTTGCTTACAATTACATACCGTGTTATATCGTACCATACAATGTAATTTGTAATAAAATGTTTTTGCAAGTGTGTAAGATGTATCATATTGTATTGCATTTAGAATCACTCGGGCTAGGCACCGAGAGCCAAACCTGCTTCAGGAGAGCTTTTAGTTAAGCGTGACTGACACGGAGCTATCTCCACCCTAATGTAGGGGATCCTATAAACTGCAGGTATGAGGTTACAGCAGAGAAAATGCATCTTCATTTCCAGTGTGGCACGTAACATGGCTTTGCTGAGTTCCCTGAGAGCACCACGCACTTTCACACACTGATTTGCTACAGGCACTTCTCCCTGAAAATTATTTTTAGCCAATAGATGCCGCAGTGATTTTCTACTCCTTGTTAGTTTCCAAGTCCATCTAATTTCCATGAAGCACCAGCTCCATTCTTTGGTTTAGGACCGTTAGGAAGCACCACTCCTGTAAGTATCACTTGTTTTCTTAAAGGAAAAAAAAAATCACTGTAAAAATAGCTTAAAAATCAGGATAACATGAAAAAAAATCATGATTAAAACTGGAAAATCCTACCATCAGTACAAAGTGTTTGCTTTTTCTTACCTCAGATGCAGAGGTGTCTATGCCGTTAATTTCACTCAGGGTTTTAATGGCTGATCACTTTTTCTAAATCAAATGGATTCATTTTCATGAACCCTTCCTACCTACAGTTTGGAACTGCCGTGCATTGTAACCTGCGGAGTTGAGAGTCACAAAGACAATTTACATCATCTAGCTTCAGCCCATCTACAAGGTAAGCTCCAGAACTCTCTCTTGTGACCCCCAACTGCTCAAGTTTCCCTTACAAACTCCTTCTGGGAAGGCACGCTGCCTTGGAAATGCCAGGAGACAGAGAATCCACCACTGTCCTTCACCTGTTACTCCTGTCTCTCCTGCACTGTCACCAGCTCTTCTTCCTGCCTCTGACAGGCGTCATTCCCACCCTACAGAGATTCTCTTCCAGCCCTAAATCTTCCCTGAACTTCAGGTGGCTGGAGGCTCTCACATCACAAATCACTTTCTCGGCTTTCTGATCATTTCTGCAGCTCCTCAATGTTGGTCTCACTGCATTCTTTCCCAAAATGTCTCATGGAAAAAAAAAAAAAAGAAAAAAAAAAAGCGATGTGGGAAATATTCCACTCACTGGTAAAGCCACCAAGTCCTCTCCTACCTGGTCACATCCCAAGAGAATTCACAGGAGCCTTTTTTCTGCCGGGGGTTTTCAGCTGCCTTTTCCCCACAGACCATGAAGTGATTTTCAGAGCTCCCAAGGACAGAGGCTGGCAGGAGCAGAACCACTTCCCACCCCTCTGCTCTTAAATCCCAGCTGTATTTTCTCTCTGGAAACAAGGAATGTGATTTGTTCTACAATACAGAGGAATCGAGATGGTCTACTCAATAGATTCATACACCTGCCACCTGAAGCATCTGGGTTTACCGGGGGCTGCAAAACGCTGAGGAGTTGGGAGCACAGCGCTCCTCAAACAGTGCCGGGCAAGGGAAGAGATTATTTCAGTTATACTTAGAGAAAGAGCCAAGAAGTCTGCTCAATTTACTTTTTTCAGACAGTGCATCTTCCAGAAGGGAAGGTTTTGTGATCTGGCTGCAGGTGAATTCACAGAAAAAATAAAAGTATCTGAATCTCACCTTCACTGAGAACGACCTGCACAGCTTCACTCAGCAAACAGACCAAGGGAAATCACCACCGTGAGACTTCCAGAAAAATCTCGCCAGAAATAACAAGTAGTTACATGGTGAAATGAGTTTTTTTAATTTTAAAACCTCACTTGATCTGGCAAGGAGGGAACAAACACTAATTTCCAAGCACATGAAGTCACCGCTTTCACAGAAGACTGAAAGCCTTTAAAGGGTTTCTGCCCCTTCTCCTGCATTTGGATTGAGATACAGTATGAGTTACCAAAAATCCTTTCTCATTCCCTGGACCAAGGTGGAATACCGACAAATTGTACACAAAAGAGGCAAATTCTATTGGATTTCTGCACGGGTGCTGGCTCAGCACCGCGGGGCCGCGCACCCACCTTGCACCGAAGGTCAGCACCTCCAAGCAGGTACGCCCAGCACAGCCATCTCTCAGGGATGTTTTTCCAAAGGAGGATGACCTGGTAACACTTGTATCAGCATCACACGTACAAAACCCCATCCAGATGTTGTAACACAGAGCAAGCTACTGAATTATTTACAGCGTCTTTAGTAGGCTCCAATTATACATTCTCCTGTAACAGCAAATTTGGTGCCCCGTGCTCCTCTTACACTAAGGCACAACCCAGCCCAGCTCAGGAGCACCTCCAGCTCAGACAGAGGGATGGAGAATACGATGGAGACTGAAATAGGAACGGGAACAAGGTGGAGAAATGCTCCCTGCAGGACACCAGCACGGCTCTGCTAACACAAGGAGCAAATCGCACAGGCGCTGTAGTTTGCTACTTCCAAAAAAGTTATTAGTTCAACTGTGCCTCTCTAAAATCACTCATTTTTAAACCTCCTTCCTTCTCCTCATCCCTTGTGATTAATTCTCTACTACAAACTCCAGGTAAAACTGTTCTAGCGGCAAGAAAGGAAAAGTTGATGCGTAATTCCTGCCTGATGCTGATCCAAGAGGGGTCAGGTTCTGCCTGCTAATTAGCGGCTGCATTTTAATCTCCGACTTTGTTGACACCACAGAAATGAATCGCTACCGGTTTGATCACAGGAGGATTCCTTCAGCACAGGACTGAATCTTAAGCTAGCAGTAAGTACTCCTTGAAGGACCCGGGCCTGTTAATAGGCATCACCTAATTACAGCGCGCACGGATCGAGTGACTTCACGGTGTGCTCACGACCACCACGGGTATTTCTGACACAACCACACTGAGCTGGAATACGCACAGGAGAAAGTTTCAAATCTGATTAAGTTCAAAAGGAATAATTAACATTTTAATACGGTATCTAAATAACGTTCACCAAAAGAATAATGAATTCACACTCGAACTGCACCGAAGAAATTTCCCATGCGTGTGTCTTAGAAGACTGACACCTACTTCACAGCTGGGGGACAAAGAAGAAAGTTTTGTGCCCTAGCACAGACAGATATTTGAATGTAATCTGTTCTGCATATTATTAATAATTTCTGGGGTAATACACAAAGTTACAACGTATAAATCTTATGATTTTTTTCACTGTTAGTAGAATCCAACCTTATATTCTGGAAGAACGAGAGCCACTCGTAACTGGGTTTTGCTCTAGCGAAGGACTTGGTGATCCATTATCACTTTTTATAACAAAAACTATGATTGCAAACCAATGTGATGAAAGGTAAGACAGGAAATAAAAGCTAGTGGATGAAGCACAGAAGACAGAACTAACATTGTAGTATACCTGAAGACACGAACATCACTGTGCCAAGTAAATAGGATGGCAGCAGGTAAGATGTGAAGAGGAAAGAACTCTTTGTAATAAGAAAATATCACCATGTACAATTACACGGAAATAAAACAGGAAAAGGGGAGATCAAAAAGAAATAAGTGCTAATGGACTTCCCCATCTGACTAGCAGATAAGCACTTTTTTTTTTTTTTAAAGGCAAATTCAGGACTTCAGGTGGGCTTAACGACAGCAACAAGTCTGTGCGTTGAACTGAACCAGATTCACGTAGAACAATAACAACCACTCAGAAAGATGAAAACCCTGGTCCGATGTGACCAGTGCCCCCACCACCACCACCTATGAAAGCCACAGAAAACCGACAAGGCGATGCTCTCCAGCTTACCGAGCACACGCAGCCAGTTGCAGAAGGATTTGATTGCTTTGGATCACTTGGGATTTAAATCCTATTACAGCCTGGTTGACAAAGATGCGACAAAGGTATTTAAGTTTTCATCAATAGACACTTACAATGAGCTCCGAATCACGTCCCATGGAAATGACTGTTCTATTTACTGTCCTCAGTAGCTTCTCCATGATTATCTGGACATGGCGTTGTGTTGGCCCCTAAGGAAAAAGAATAAATGAATGGTAACGAGGTACAAGAGACACCAATACAATTCATTTATGTTTGCCTTTAAAACCACCTTTCTTGTGAAAGTTAAATAAAGCAGCACTTACTGCTACTGATCAAAGGCAGAAAATTAGCCTCTGATTTAAAGAAGACCGTGAAACGTCTTATTAATACATGTTCCTAATAAATTTATTTTTGCTGTTAGAGTTATCTAAATTAAGAGCAAGTCCCTGGAACTAGCAGCAATAACCATGACACTTAGTTACTTAATTTTATTTTCCTAAGCCATTTTTCCAACATCATAAGTCCACAGTCATTAGCAAGTTCTGGGGGCTGATTCTACAACAGCTCAATTAAAAGAAACTAAGAAAAGCAAAAAGAGAAAGTTTAAGTAAGGAACTTCGATTTCAGTCAATTATGTCCAGTTATTTTTTGTCTTGTATGTAAGCTGCTGTTATTTTTAGAAGAGTTGAAAATAGGGTGTTTGGCACAACTGGCCTTTAAGAAGAGTTCAGAAACCTCATGCAGGATGCTGCACACAGGGATTGAAGCCAAAAAAAAAACCTGACAAGGAGTTAAAACCCATAATAAATGAACATCACTCCCAGCCTATACTTCATAAATGGATTTATTTCTTAGTTTTCTTTAGTCTGAAGGAGCAGACTTCAAAAGGGGAAGGTGGGAAGGTGAAACAATTCTACAGCCAGCACTTGGAAGCCTTCTCCCAGATAATTATCTAAATAAAGCAGCATCTTCGTGGTGCTTCTTGGCTGCAGCACAAACACTCTGATGAGCCATTCTCTTCCTTGCCCTTGGATCCATATAATAACCCCCAGCTTATCATCTCATTATGCTTAATTAGCAAAGGCAGACATGCATATATGGAAAAGGCATTTGCATATTTGAAGAGCGATCCATCACCTGTGCAGACAGACACAGCTACTGCTTCAATACGGGTTTTTCTTCCCCCTGCTGACAGAGCTGTCTTTGGGATAAAGTGTACAATTCTGGTACAAGGAGCATCTTCAGGGCTAAAGGCACCTCGGCACCCTGCTCCTCTCCACCCTTCAGCTCTCCCTAATCTCTAAGCATCTCCTCTAAGCATCACCCACTCTCTGAAGTCGTGGCACAGAACTTCTTCCAAAGAAAAATAAAATTAAATCAGAAATCATATAAATAAAACAAAATAAAATCAGAAATCCCCTCGAAATAGTCAAATAGGACGTTAGGTGTTATGTGAGGAGGTGACCCCAGCGGGGTCAGAGGCAGAAGCAGCCACCTGCTAATCCAGGTCATTTCTTGCGGGGTGGAGAACCCTGCTGTGTAACCTTAAACAGCACTTTAAACAGTTAAACAAGCTTCTGTGTTAACAAAAGCAGAAATTCATGTATCTGGCCTCATGGGCCAGCATCAACACATCTCAAATGTGTGTTTCCCAGACTGCTGGGGGGTGGTGGGAATGGGGGATGGAATCAAATACTTTCCAGCAGGCAGAGGCTAGACACTGTGTGAGAGGTTGATCTCCTAAGTGGATGCATCC